AAAAAAGAAAAGAGATGAGGTTCTGGTCTTCCTGGTCTTTCCATAATGATTTTTGTTTTGTATACCAATTTCTATGGCTGGAACACAAGGAACAAAAGCAGAAAAAGCACAGGAAAATCAAAATATCTACCCATGTCCTCCTATTTCTAGGGTTTCTTCCGATGCTTTCCTACACATACCCACTCAAATAATCCCTCATTTACCTCCCTTCTCTTTCCATTCTCACAGATCTGCCACAACCAGAAAAGCTTCTGTCTGATTTTCGTAGTTTGAGTCAGATCAACCCTTATCCATTTGGTCCTTTTTCTATTTTTGGAAAGTTCATGTTTTGAATTACGTTGTGCTTGGTAAAAGTTAGTCTTGAAAATCCTTTACAGGGAATCCATTATTTTATTTTCTGGGTCTGTCTTGGTATTTGATTTTCTCTCTCACTTCTCTCGAGTGTATACGAGAATGGTGAGGGGGAAAACTCAGCTGAAAAGGATAGACAATACGACAAGTAGGCAAGTGACCTTCTCAAAGCGCAGGAGTGGGCTTCTGAAGAAGGCCTTTGAGCTATCAGTTCTATGTGATGCTGAAGTTGCACTCATCATCTTCTCTGCAACAGGGAAGCTCTATGAGTTCTCAAGTTCCAGGTACTTGATTTCTTTCATCTGAATCTGCAGATATTACCCTTAATTTTTTCCCATTAGATGTACAAATGGGTCCCTGAAGAGTTTATTGTTTAGCTGCCAGTGTACCATACAAGATGACCCAAAGTGTACAATGATCTCAGGCTTTAGCTGTTCAAAATGTCCTATCCTATCTCTCTTGTTTTGCAGCTTTTTATTTGGCTAATCAAATCATACCCTTGATCTGTTTTTAATGATCAGTAGTCTTGAGAGTCGACCTTTCAATTGATCTTGAAGATTTTTTTTTTCTTTACAAAAACCCAAATCCTTCTTCTCTTAAATGAGGTTATGATACTCAGTACTTACACTAAGACAATATAAAAAATAGACAAACATTCACACACAACCCACGGAAGAGTATTATGCCTCAAACATTGTAGTTACTATTGGTTTACAGTGTTTGTTCTTTTCCTGATCTTTGGTTGTGGATGACAGATATACTCGATATGTGAAATGTTCATAGACCTAAGCTTAAGTCTGTGTCAGCTAGCAGGAAACGTACTACAGGAATAAACATTGGGCATAGCGGTGATACTATGACATTAATACTAAGTGGTATCACTAACTAATTATAAAGCAATAAATAGAATTGGTGAACCCAAATATTCTAACATTAAAGTTATTAGATAAGGTTGTTATATTAGGTAAAGTGGTTATTGGTAGTTATTAAACCAACGGAGTTCACTAAGTTCATTTTGCATTTTCTTGCTAGTTGGCGACATCACATGTTATTGATGATGCAATGTCACTACTACATACCATATTTTCTCGTACCCTAAATTCTTTCTTTATGATATATAGGGATTTAGATTATTATATGTGTGTGTGTGTTGATTTTCACAAAACAAAAAAGGACGTTGTGCATATACTTCTAAAATCTTTTCACCCGGCCCATCACACTGAACCTTGATAGAACCACAGAAGAGGAAGTGGCCAATAAAGGAATCTATCTGGCCATTTTCTGATATTCTGGAATTTATACAAGAGAGAACATAAAAACCCTACAACATTAATAGTCTACCCCAATAAAATAGACTAAAAAAGAACATATATAATTTCAGCAGTCCCTGAAAATCATGATGACATGGGAGAAAGAATCGGAAGTTTGTCAAGAAAAAATAAAAACACAGCATGATGTGAGATTTCGTGAAGAAATCAGGGAATTGTACAGCAAACAAACAAGATACAAAGAAACAATGTCAAGATGAAGAAGGTGACACACACAACAATAATCAATCTCTTTGTTTATGTAAGTAGCAATAATCCATCTTGATGTGCTTCATTTGCTCATGGAAAACAAAATTGTGCAGAATTTGACCGACACTTTTACTGTTGCAAAGCATACGAGTAGGAGTAGAAAAGGAAATGCGTAAGTCAGCAATCCAAGCACATAACTAATCTTCTTAAGGTTTAATTAACAGACTCTTGTATTGTCGAGATTTATCTCAAACTTAATGCTCAACATACTTAAACAGCTAATGTCTCTCTACCTAGTCTTATCTTGTATGATATTCTTGTTAGTAATTAAGAATATATCAGTGGTACACACGTTGTTCTTATCTATGTCATTCATGTTGTGAGTCTATTTGTCTCTTCTTTGATTACAATTCACATGACTGTAATTATTTACATTTTGTGCTATCTCCATAGCCCTTTAGTGTTTAATTTTTTGGATGATTTTCTTGCTTCTTAGAAAACCAAGAATAGATCATTCTCAATGACTCCAGTCCTATTAACCTGAATATTGTGTTATTGTTACTATACGTCAAAGATAGTTCACTTAGACTGTTGCTTGCAGATTTAGGCATTCCTTTTTATACTTCTACTCACTTGTATGATGACAATAAGAAAGTCAACCAAATTCTACATAATTTTGTTTTCCATCAACAAATCAAGCATATTACTATTGATTCTAAATCTTTGTTATTAATAAACATGTGATCAACATACAAAAATAGAACAATTTGACGGCCTATATTGAATTAAAGACAACATAATTTTGTTTACCGGGAAGAAAACCCAAGTCATAGAATACTTAACTTCCACCGAGCTAAAGTAAAAAAGCCCAATGTTCATTTTTTAAAAATAATATTCCCTTAATAGTCTTATTTAAGATTTCGTTTTCTTTTTAACAAATACTAATGGTGTGTTAGTAAGGTGGATGAAAAAATAAGATGATGAAAAATGGGAGTGATAGACTTTTTATCATTCAATAGAGGAATATCTTTTGTGTTTGGTACGAGGGATGAAAAGTAAAAATAATTATTTCTTTTATGTTTAGTAGGATAAAAAAGTGAAATGATAGAAAAAATATAGATGCGTATGTTATCATTATATCTATATATGAAATTAATGTATAGATAATGTGTAATAGATAAATATGATGTATGTATATATCAAAAAATATATAGGTATATAACATACATTTTAACACACATAATTAACTTTTGATCCATTTTTTCTCTCAATTTTAGAAAAATTGGTTTTGATGAGCCGAAAGAAAAATTAATCTATCTATCTTATTTTCCTTCCTTATCAAATATAAGTTTTATCTATCCCTCTAAATTTTTATCCTTATATTTTTCATCGTAGCTAACAAGGCATATCACAAATTTTGAATGTTTGGAGATGCCCAATAATGTTTAAGGTTTAAGGCAAAAATTTTGGAGAGTCCTAAATCTCTTTTTTCATATTTAATTAATTGGAAAACACATAAAACTCCAAGTAGGGGTGCAACTTGGGAGGCCCAACCCTAGGTATAAAATCTTCAACTTTGACCCTAACATGACCTCATACTCAACCTGCGTATCCCAAGTTGATTTCGGGTAAGCTCGGGTTGAAATTGAGTTCTTGAATTCGGGCCCAATTTAGATTTGCAATTCGGGCTCAACAAATTAACTTGTTAATGTGCAAGGGTAAGCCTTCTTTATATAGGGGAGATGTGAGAGGTCATGTGAATTGTCTATCTGATGTGGGATGACAACGTCTTATCTTTCTTTTACTTTTTTTCCTTATCCCACATCGATTGTGTAAACTTTTTATCATATAGTTCTTATAAATTATGTTTTACTCCCCTTTTAAAAAATAATAATTACAAAAAATATATTTATATTTTATTGTTATATTATTTATATAAATATAGTTCATGAATTCGGATTGAACTCGGGTTGGGTTTGGGTTTATCAATTCAGGTTGGGTTCAGGTTAAACTCATGAACCCGAGTCTTGTCCAAATTCAATATGGATTGAAGTTGTTCAACCCTTACCCTAAAACCTCAACCCCAACACTGTTTTTTTTTTTTTTGGTTGAATTCAAATTGGCCCGTCCAAGTTGCACCCCTAACCCCTAGTTGTAATATAGAATCCTTTTCTATAATGTGCAATAGAATTGCAATAACTGAACTAATAACTCTATCACAAAGTCAAATATTAATGAGTTTTTAGTTCAATTGTACAAGATTTTGTCTTCTTGAAGTTAAAGTTTAAGTTCCCCTCCCCTTTCCCCTTCTCCCTCCCCTCAAAAAAGAAAAAGTCAAATGATGGAGAAGATATATAAGCCTGTGGGACCCACTATAAGAAAAAAAAGTTTTTATGGCGATAAAGTACTGTCATAAAACATTTATTTACTGTCGCAAATACTTTTTATGGCGTCATTGTAGTGGAATTGTCTCGCCATAATAAGTGGAGCCTCAAAAAGTCTTTGTAGCAGTAATAACCGTCTGAAATAGAATTTGTGGTAACAAATAAATTTTTTATGATAGTACTATCGCAACAATAAAAAATTTCTTCAAAACACGCTATTTGTAACTACAACTACAATTGCTACAAAAAATTTATCTCAAGGCTCTAATTTTTGTAGTGACTCTAGGCAAGTGCCTCAACTAGAGATTGGCCTAACCCTCTCAAGATGTGAACTTGGATACCCAAAGAGGAGTGAAACACTAGAGCTAGTATGACAACAACATCATGTAGTGTGGGTGTTGCACTGTTTTCTATAGTTGAATATAATCTTCCTTGAATGTGGAGTTGTTATTTGTTTTCCGACATCAATATAATTCAACCTCAATCTTATTTTCATTTAAGCCAAATTACTCACTAGGCAATGTCAAAAGTTTTGGTTTTTTTTCTTTATTCCCATGGTGTTTTTTATTTTTTTTCCAGTCAAGTAGTGAAATATTTAATATGGTAACCAGAATAGTAAAACTAGGGTACAAAGATTGCTCAGTTAAATCTAGCTCATGGTTATTTCTTCTAGCCATATAAATCTATATGTACATTGACCTCTATTAATATTACCCTTTTGTGATTTTTTGTTGATGTTCAGTACTAACAAGACGATAGAACGCTATCAAAGGAATGCCAAGAACCATCGAATTGGCCACAAAGCAGTTGAAGGAAATATGCAGGTCAAAACTACTTTCATTTTGGTCTCCAAGCAAAAATATTGCCCGCTTATTCTCTTAGATGCTGGAATGCTTGTGTGATCATCGTCTTGTTCAGTAACTTTATACTGTTTTCATATCTTCATGGTGTGTCAAGTGACAAGAGTTGAAAAAATTAGATACTTGTATGCAATAAGATCTAGAGTTTGAGAACTTGTTATTTGATGGTACTCTATAGCCGGTTGAGGGTTGTATAAGTACCAAAAAACTTATTATGGCCATGAAGTTTTCGTAAATGGGCTTGAGATATGTAAATTGGAATACAAGCTAAATGTAGAGTACCCGTATATATAACCAATAAAAGTTATAATAAGGATAAAAAAGTAAAAAAAAAGAAAAACTTAATAAACCCTAATAAACTAGGTCGTTATATTTCCAACACTCCCCCTCAAGTTAGGCGCAAAAATGTCAACTAGGATAATTTTGACAATGGAATTCCGAAGAATAGATAGAGTGATAGGTTTGGTGAAAACATCCGCAACCTGATCACCGGTCCCCACAAACGATGGAGTGACAATACCACTGTTAGCGTTCTCCCGAAGAAAGTGAACATCGATTTCTATATATTTCGTCCTCTCATGTAATACAGAGTCAGAAGCAAACTGAATAGCAAATCAATTATTACAATATAATGTAGATGAAAAAATTACTCAAAATCCCAACTCGCCTAGAATCGATCGTAGCCAGATAATCTCACATGTGTCAAGTGTCAGTGCTCGATACTCTGCCTCTACTAACGAGCGAGAGACAATTGACTATTTCTTGCTCTTCCAAGAGATAAGACGAGTCCCTCAAAAAACACAGAAGTCCGTAGTAGATCGACCGTCACACGCTCCACCATAATCTGAATCTGAATAACAGGTTAGAGAACCAATCTGAGATCCTAATGAATAGAACAACCCAAGTCCAGGGTAAGACTTAAGCTACCGAAAAATATAATAAACTGAATCAAAATGAGGCTAACATGGTCTGTGCATGAGCTGACTAATTCGACTGACAGCGAATGAAATGTCTGGCCTGGTGTTGACTAGGTAGATAAGTCTACTTACCAACCTTTGATAAACAGTCGGATCTTTCAACTCTTCACCTTCAACAGTAAGCTTCAGGTTTGGAATCATGGGTGATGATGCTGGTTTGTACCCCAACATCTCAGTGTCTGAGAGAAGATTTAGAACATACTTTCTCTGAGAAAGAACAATACCCCTTCTGCTACGGGCAACCTTAATCCCAAGAAAGTATCGCAAAAATCCAAGGTCCTTCACATCAAAGGCATTCCCAAGGTCTACCTTGACCTACGTAGTCCCAGAAACATCATCTCCAGTAATAATAATATCATCAACATATACCAAAAAAATGACGCACTATCCAGAAGTATTTTGTCGAATGAAGCAGGTATAATCAGAATGACATCTAGTGAACCTAAACATACAACTACATCACTAAAGTGAGAGAACTAGACTCGTGGTGACTGTTTCAGTCCATAAAAAGACTTATGCAGTTGACATACCTTTCCAGCATACTCCCCCTCGCTATGAAAGCCCGATGGTCGATCCATATAAATAATCTCGTCAAGATCACTGTGAAGAAATGTATTTTTCACATCCAACTGATGAAGAGGCCAAGAGAAATCCTCAACCAGAGAAATAATCAATCGAACATTAGTTAATTTTGCCACAGGGGTAAAGGTGACACCAAAATCCCGACCTAGTACCTGAGTAAAGCCCTTGGCCACAAGCCTAGCCTTGTGACGATCAATAGTACCATTCACAAGAAATTTCAGGGTATAAACCCAGCGATAGTCAACAGGTTCACCCCTGAAAGTAAAGAGACAAGATTTCATGTATGATTACGCTGAGGAGCGTTCATCTCTGTCTGCATGGCAAGAACCCGCTGGGACTCTTGCATAGCCTCTGAAATAGAGCGAGGAACCGGCGTATCTGATAAGGTCATACTATAAGCTCGAAATGTAGGAGACAGATCATCATAGGAAACATAAGTAGAGATCAGATATAAAATTCTAGCAGTCCAACCATAACGAACAACTGGACGACGATCATGCTACGGATAACGATGCCTTAAATCATCATCTTCCACTGACAATGCCTTATCAGGTAAAGCAACTCGCTCAGTACCTGCAATCTCATCAGTACTAACAATAGGTGCATCAATATGCTCAACGAACTGAGAAGTATTATTTGCATTGCCTGAGATAGAGGGGACATCAGCAGGAAGATTAGAGCGAGGGCAACGAACATAAACCTGTAAAGGAAGAGTGACTGGTCACTCTGTACTGATAGGGATGAGTGGCTTTGGAAGAGGAGAGATTGATGACTCGGTAGTGATAGGGACCAATGGCTCTAGCTTCGGTGGTAATAAAAAAATTAAAGGAAGTATCATCAACTGGAGGGGCAGACACAGGATTGGAAGAAAAATAAGGAATATGCTCAAAAAATATAACATTTAGACTGTGATACATACGACGTCTAATAAGATCATAACACCGATTCTCCTTAAACTGATGACAATAGCCCACAAAGACACAACGAATTACTTTATCATCAAGCTTATGACGAGTACGAGACCAATCCTGAACAAAACATGTGCATCCAAAAACATGAGGAGGGACTGAAAAAAGTGTCTGCTCAAGAAATAAGACCTGTAAGGGAGCTCTATGCTGAAGAACACGACTCGGCGTATGATTGTACAGAAAGGTAGAAGTTAAAATAATAAAATGTCAATAAGATTTTGGTACCTCCATGCCTCTAAGCATAGAACGTACCAACCCTATCAAACTCCTATTTTTTCTTTCAGCAACGCCATTTTGCTCAAGAGTATATGGACAAGTGAGTTGCTGAAGAATAACCTGAGAAGAAAGGTGAGACACTAAGACATCAAACATATTCTTTGGCATTATTCGAATGAAGAGCACGAACAATAACATCGAATTGTGTCTTAATCATCTGTAGAAACTGAGTAATTATAAGGAGTATATTGGACTTTCTATACAAAAGGTAGACCCAAGTACAACGGGTATGGTCATCTATAAATGTCATATAGTATCGAGCACCTATTAAAGCAGTAACAGAAAAGGGTCCCCAAATATCAGAGTGTATTAGGTCAAATGGTTTGGGTGACTGGTGTATGCAAAGAATATAATTGGTCCTAACATGTTTCAATAGAGAACATATAACAGATTCAAGTTTACCACCAACACAAGCATTGCTCAAAGCAGGAAACAACATACATAAATATTTAAAATTTGTATGTCCGAAATGGTTATGCCACAATTGAACAGTTTGTGACAAAAAATCATAACGACAACTACTGGGTAAAATAATAGCATGTAAGCTAGGAACAAATAAAGACAAAGTAGGTGCAAGTGATGTAGGTGGAGGAACTGGTGAANGTATGTCCGAAATGGTTATGCCACAATTGAACAGTTTGTGACAAAAAATCATAACAACAACTACTGGGTAAAATAATAGCATGTAAGCTAGGAACAAATAAAGACAAAGTAGGTGCAAGTGATGTAGGTGGAGGAACTGGTGAAGCTGGAGGTGGATTGCCTAGATAATACAATCCATCTTTCTCATGTCCCTTGATAATAATCCTCTTAGTACTCAGGTTCTGTAAATAACACGAATTAGATTAGAACACAATCGCACAGTGAAAATCTCTAGCTAACTGATGTACAGATATTAAATTCATGGCCAACTTTGGTGCATGAAAAATTGAACGTAATGTAAAGTCATCTGGGAGGCGAACTGTACCCCTACTAACAATAGGGGCATGTGTCTTATCTATTAACTGAACCTGTGTATGTAACTATTTNAAGAACACAATCGCACAGTGAAAATCTCTAGCTAACTGATGTACAGATATTAGATTCATGGCCAACTTTGGTGCATGAAAAATTGAACGTAATGTAAAGTCATCTGGGAGGCAAACTGTACCCCTACTAACAATAGGGGCATGTGTCTTATCTATTAACTGAACCTGTGTATGTAACTATTTATCAAAAGTGGTGAAGTGATGGGCCTCACCTGTCATGTGACTATTCGCACTCGAGTCCAGCATCCAAAGGAGAAACGGACTGGCATAAGCATGAAAGGCACGAGGTATACTTGTAGTGGTGGTAACAGCAGTAGTCGGACTTTGAGAAGTCAGAGCGGACATAAGTATATCCAATTGAGAAGTGATAGCATCCATATCACTCTACCAAGAAGGAGCAATAGCATGAGTAGCAGTAGTAGGTAGTGGTACCTCAGCAATAGTAGCAGTATGGCCGTGAGGAGGCTGTTTAAGCTCTGGATGGAGCTTCCAGCAAGCAACCCTGAAATGTCCTGGTCAGCTACAATAATAACACTGACGAGAATTCCCCTGTCTGCGTTAATCTGGGGCACCCTGACGCCGCTGGTCTGAACGCTGCCCACCCCTGACTGAGGATCTTGAACGAGACCCTACAGCAGCTGCAAGGGTTATATGATCAGCCAAAGGAGTTAAGGCTGCAACTGGAACTGATGCAATACGGACACGGTGCTCATGCTGCTCAATCATTGCATACATCTCATAAAGAGAAGGAAGCGTCAACATCAACAGGCTCTGGGAACGAGGTCCCTCAAACTTATCACGAAGCCTTATAAGAAACTTGTGAATCTTATCCTCCTGCTCGCGAGTATGCAAGAATGTTGTTCTCTCGGGCTCTATCCTCGAAATAGCAACAAGAGGACGTAGAGTTTCATACTCAAGCCAGCGCTGGATCAAATAGCCATAATAATCCTGAACGCTCATATCTTCCTGTCGAGCATATGAGAGCTCTTGAGAAAGCTCATAAACACGTATTCCCCATCCTTACTGAGAATACATCTTTTGATAATGCGCTCCATAGCTTTGGTACAAAGTTATGAAACTGATGAATCCGACAAACAGATGACTCCATTGAACCAAATAACCATTTAAGAATGACTCAGTTCTCAGAGAACCACGCAGAATATCCAGGGTCGGCATCAGCTGGATCTGGGTGAGATCCCGTCAGCCAACCAAGCTTCCCTACACGGCCTAGGAAAAGCTAAAATGAGTGAGACCACTCAGCGAAGTAACGACCATTCAACAACTGTGCTGTAACTTTCCGAGAGAACATGCCTGACAGTATTGGTAATGCAACTGTGCCAGTAGGTACTGTATACTGGTTAAACATAAAAAGGGAAGTATCAATAGATGTCTCAACGGTAGAGGTCTGAAGTTCTACAGTAGTAGCTATATAAATAACGAATCTACTGCATCAAGAGCAGATCATCGGATAAGAGGATTCAACCCCTCTGTAACAGGTCGAAAAAAGAAGGTAGTGGCGCAAAGAGATGACAACACTACGACAAAGAACGCGCACGAAGTTAAAACACGAAGCTACAGTCGAACATGGCAGCAGTGTGTTAGTTGGACTAATATGTTGGGCAGTGTAGTTTGAGTTTTGGTGTGGGCAGTTAGGTATTTTGGGTTTGGGTTTAAGGGATACTGGGTGGCTTTGGTGGGCTGATATATTGGTTTAATTTATTGGTCTGGGGTTTTGGGCTTTTGGGTTTGGTGGTCAGTCGGTGCTTTATTTATATTGGTTGGAATCTATTTGGGTTTGGTGGGATGTATTGGCTGGTTTGCTTTAGTTAGAAAGTATGATCTGGTTTGTGACGTTCTGGTATGTTCTGGTGGGCAGTCGGTGATATGGTTTGTGGCAGTTGGCAGCGTTTGTGGTTTCAGTTTGTGATGTTTTGGTGGGCAGTCAGTGATGTATTGGGCAGTCGGTGATATGGTTTGTCGCAGTCGGTCCTTTGTGGTTTTTTTTTTAGTTTGTGGCAGTCGGCTGGTCGCTGGAGGGCTGGATGGCTGGGTTGGCTTTCTAATTTCTGCCGGTGGAGAGACTGTCGATGGTGGCAGTATGGAAGGTGATGAAGGCTAGGGTTAAGATTAGGATTAGGGTTAGAGATGAAAGTTAGGCTCTGATACCAACTTAAGATATGTAAAATGAGATACAAGCTAAGTGTAGAGCCCCGTATATATAGCCAATGAAAATTACAATAAGGATAAAAAGGTAAAATTTAATAAACCCTAATAAACTAGGTTGTTATATCTCTAATAGTATTTATTGAATGTCTTATTACTTGTATGCAGAGATTCACACTAAAAAATTAAGTAGATTTTAAGATTAGTTTATATACTTAAGAGCTCACTCTACCTATTATCAATTGATTTTGAGTAAGATACTTGAACATAATGTCAAAGTTTAATCTTGGATAGACCTGTCAATCGTGTCAGATGAAATGGATTCATGTCGAATCTTAGCGGATTCGTGTCAAAAAATATTACACTCATAACCAATTCATTTATTAATTCATGTCTAATGAATTGTGGTATATGGAGTTCGTGTCGTGTATAAATTGTGTATAAACGGTATATAAACGAATTGAGTCATACATTTCTTGTGTTTGGTTTTATTCATGTCCGATTCGCTTATTAATTGTGTCATGTCGGGTTCACCTTTTTATGAAATGGGTAGTTTAAGTAAGACCCAAACCCTTTAATTTCTTGTTGTATTTGTGTCGTGTTAATTAATTGTGTCATATTTGACACCTCCAGTCGTCTTACGTAGTTGATGGGCTAAGTCTCCCACCCAGTTCAACCCGGCCACAAACCAACCTTAAATGCCAATTCATGTGCTGGTATATGGTCTTAGAACATACAAATTTATAAATTCCTTGAATTTTTTTTTTTTTTTTTGGTGTCAAATAATGTCCTATTTTCGGAACATCTTTCTAACTCTTACACGCACAGCTTCGCACGCAGCATTTTCAGAAAGATGCTTCTGCCATGACCAAGAAGATAAAGCTTCTTGAAGACCATAAAAGGTTCAGATCTTAGTTATGTGACCTAAGTTCATTCTCCTTTTAGCATTGCTTTCGAACTAACAATTGGTTGTTAAACTGTTAACTTCTAAAATTCACTGCAGAAACCTATTGGGAGATGATTTGGAGTCTTGTTCTATTGATGAGCTAGAAAAGATAGAAGATCAGCTGGCACAAAGTTTAACCGACATTAAGGCAAGAAAGGTATATTTATCTGAAAATGTACTAATATGATGAGTGTGAGTCTTAGTGTAACAGTAAAATTGCTTAATTATGACATGGGCGTCAAGGGCTCAAGTCGCAAAAACTTATTTTTATATAGAGTAAAGTTATGTATATCTGACTCTCACCAGTCCTTGCAGGAGCGTGAGAGTCTCATATAATAGACTGTCTTTTTACCACATATAAGATGAAATTAACCAACAGTCTTAACATTTTTGTTTAATTAATATCAGAATCAGTTATTGAGGCAGAAGATTGAGAAGCTGAAGGAAGAGGTAAACTGTCATAGATACAGCACATGCATATGCAAAAACTCAAGCAAGTACATATGTTCCATATAGCTAATTTCTGTTACCTTTTCTTGACATAATTCAGGTGGAAATACTAGCCAAAGAAAATGCAGAATTAAAGAAGGTGGAGTATAAATTTCTCATTTTACGTCATACTATGTTTCTACAAACTCAATTTATTTGAGTCGACGATAGTTCTTGCATACGAAAATCTGAGGAGGTAGTTGATAACTCGTATCTGTATATTGTTTTACATATGACTAATGATTCCGAGTATACTTGATTCATCCAGATTGAAGTGCAACCACTGCCACCGTCAGTTATACGACCAGAGGTACACCGGAGGCGAATTTCCGACGTGGAGACGGAACTGTTTATTGGTCCACCATAAGGACGGAGTACTGCTCATTCGATGCTACAAAGTTGAGACTCCGGCTAAGGCTACTCCACTTTCATGGTTGTACTATTAAAAATAGTAAGCTAGATTATACATTTTCGTGAGGGATCATGTACTATTAATAGTTGGAATTGTGTCATAAAAAAAGCTATACCTTCTTACTTTGAAACACTTTCGTCTGAAAAATGAATAGTATATTATAGGAAATTTGTACGTTTGTGTCAATTTCCCTTTGGATCATATTAATTTGAATTCTGACTCCAATGCAAACTATTTAACGAATTATGTTAGATATATTAAGACAAATTCCATCTATTTATTATTGTGTTATGTTTGGGTTGACCTGTGAGTTAAAATTTTAAAATTAAAACTCTATTATCTATCAACTAATCCAACACTTGCAAGAATTCATGTCAATACTTGATAAAACAATAAAAATCTAGCATTTTATTTATATAATACTAGTTAATTTTTCGTGTTTAAAGACAATGTGTGACATAAAAATAGTTAATTAAAAAAAATTAATTTGGTTAAATTCTCAAGTTCTTCAGCAGACACCTTAACAGTGAGGAAAATCAATAGAAACGAACCATTTTCTCCCCCCTCCCCAAAAAAAAAAAAAACAATGAACATGAACCAACGTTACCCCCACATTGCATTTGTAAAATTTGTGAAATTGTAAATATTCTATTTGACATGATGTTTGAGACTTTTCAATAATACAAATTTGACTTGAATTATTCATTAAGTTGTCTTCCTTTTTTTGAGCATGGATTGAGAGGTTTCGGTTAAATTGGTTGGTTTATTTTCAAAATATGTAATGCCAGTTTTTAAATATGACTATCTCACAGTATTGAATCATTGTAAAGTTTGATTTGAATTTTTTTCAGAAAAATTTAGCCAAAATCTAATTAAATGGGATTGATGTCATTTTTATGGGTACCATCTCCAATTGTAATCTTCATATTGTATGATCCGTGTTCAATTTTCTGTGTTACATAGCACCTTTAGGTGTGAGTTATTCTCAAATACATTTTTAAAAAAATCGAAAAAGAGGAGAGATTATAATTTATAGTTTGATGTATACATTCACTCACACCCATATTATTGATTATTTATGTTAATTGTTAATTAGTATAAAAAATTTATTTTATTTTATTTTTGAAATTTATTCCTTTACTTAATTACTGATCAAAACAAAGAAGAATGAGGAAAAGTGGTTGTTGTTAGGTTTGTTTAGAGCAACTCCAACGCCCTCGCCAACTACTGCCTCTGCACCATTTTAACAAGCAAAATTTCAAACCCCAGGCTCCAATGCCCTAGCTATCCAGCTCGCCAAATAGTTGAGGGCTATTCCTGCTAGCCAGGTCTGGTGAGGGTTACCAGCTCGCCAGTTGCTATCTTCCCTCCATTTCTGCACAACGACAAATTGGTTCCTTCCATTTCCTCCTTCATCCTAACCAGATCAGGTATTGAAGTTTCAAAGATGGGTTTCTAATCTTTGTTTTTTGTTTTCCATGATGTATGTATAAAGTGTTTGGTTGCTGGGCAATCGAGATAAAATGAAAGAAAATTTGTTTCTTTGTTTCTTCTCTGGTTTTTTCGGGAACCAAACAAAGGGCTTNTATAAGGTGTTTGGTTGCTGGGCAATCGAGATAAAATGAAAGAAAATTTTGGTTCTTTGTTTCTTCTCTGGTTTTTTCGGGAACCAAACAAAGGGCTTAAATTGAGTTGGTATTCTCATCTTCTGCTCAATTTTTTACTCAATCAAGTGCATTTCTGCTCAATTTTTTGAGATGTATTTCTTTTCATTATTCACAATATATTTGATGAATTGCCTCAATGAGATATGTTTGATAGAAAAGTGAAATTCCTAAAACTATTGCTCTATGCTTGCGTTTATTGTTTCTTGGTATATGATTTTCCGAGTATTGTGGTGATTTTTGATGTATTTAACTGGTTCATGAATAATTTTTTTCACATGATTTTTGCACATTATGATATTTGCAGTCAAATGATTCTGGTTAAGGTTCAGGCTTTTTCACATCCTAGAACAATCATTAGCAGTAAAGATTTTAGCTATTAATCAGATATTTTTTTTTTTTGATATCGAAAACAAAGAAAACGTTCCTCTCATTTCCAGTGATTTGGTATCATGGTTTGTTGCTGGTTCGCAAATTTACCACTAAGCTGGCTTTAGTTTTTTGTTTCTTGAAAAAGCAATCTTTTTTCTTAAGATTTCTTCATGTTCTGTTCGATAAATCCACTATAGTACTTCGCATTATTTTAGAGTTAATCTCATTTTGCACCTCGAAAGATTGTTCGAATCTTAATTTGCACTCTCAAAGATTAAAAATCTCAATTTACACTCTCAAAAATAGAAATTTGTATCAATATGCACCCCCAAAGATCAAAAATCTCAATTTACACCCTCNGTTATTTCTAATTTCTTTTCCACTTTCTTGATAAACCCTTTTCTCCTCCTTACTTGGTTCGTTTTCTTTACTCCTTTCCTTTTCTGGTTTTCTTGTGATTTCTTGTGTGATTGTTGTTTGATGGGTTCTTTGGATTCTGGGTTTGCGTGACTGTTGTTTGATAAAATTTAAAATTTGATAATGTGGCATAATATATCATCATTATGGCGTTTGATAAAATTTAAAATTTGATGATGTGGCATGATACATTATCATTATGGCGCTTACGTGTTACACCATGTGATATTTTTGAATTATATTATTAAAAATTAGTTAAATTTAATTAAAATAGTTAGTTAAAATAGAAAGCGTGGTTGGAGTGCATTTTAAAAAGTAGGTAAATAAGATAGTGAATTTAATATTTAAATATATTTTGAATAACTATTTTACTAAGTGTGGTTGAGATGCGTTTAGCCGAATGCCTCTTGGGCCAAAATGGGTCACGTGGAATCTTCATCAAATATCCATAATACCCCATAAAGAATGTCTTATTTACGGTGTTAAATTATTGAGAGTTTACCTCTTATATTTTGTGAGTGTGATTTTGATAAAATAGGGTGGACAGCAAAGTTGAAAAAAAAATATTGAAGATGCAAGAAAGGTGCCAATAACAGTAATGGGCAGAAAAAGTAGAATTTCATAGGTGAATCTCAACCATTAGATCAAATTTTGAAAATTTGGATAAATCTAAATCGCGAAAAGTAAAAGTTATTTTGTTTATTTTTTAAAATATGAATTGTCTTATACTTTATTATATAGACTAGTTATTGCCTGTGCCTAAAGGTATAAAATAATAAAAAATTATCAGCAATAAACATATTTATATTCATTCCTAAAATCAAATTACAAACATAGAGAAGAGATAAACGAATTTATGCACCAATTGTAATGAGAGTGAGTGATGGTAGAGGTGGTGGGCAATAGTGGTAGTGGTGAAAGATGGTGATGGTGGATTTTGGGTGACGATAGTAGTAATTGTAGTCATGGGTGATGCAGGTGGTGGTGGGGCGACAGTGATTGTGATTGACAATACTGGTGGTGGTGGGACGATGACAATGGTAGTGGTGGGCGGTGACGATGGTGGTGGTGAGCGACAACTCGTACTTCTTGGCAACAGTGTGATGGTGATGACGAATGATGGTGGTGGTGGTAGTAGTGGTAGGTGTTTGTAGGGGGTGAGTGCCCGTGGGTGGCAATAATGGTAGGCGATGACGGGTGGTGGTGGGTTGTGGTAGTGGGTGATGGTGAACAATAATGGTGGTGGTGGGTGCTAACAGTGGACGGTAGTGGGTGCTAACAGTGGTAATGATAGTGGTAATAAATATAAGAATAAGATAATGATAATGGTTAATAGTGATGGTGGACAATGGTGGTTAATGGTGGTGGTGGACGACGGTGGTAGCAATCGATGGTGGGTGGTGGTGGTAGGGGTAGTTGTGGCGGTGGCGGTGGCGGGGTGATTCCAAACATATATTTTTTTAAAAATACTTGTGAGAAATTATAAATTTTAGAAACACTTTTAAAAAGTTATTCCGAACACACCCTTAGAGATCTATTTTTCTTTATTAAATTTAGATGTTATTATTAGTCATTAGATTAACTTTAAAGTAAAATTTAAAGAGATCTCAACCGCGAAAAATAAAAGTTATTTTTTTAATTTTTTGAGATTTGAATTGCATTATATTTTATTATATAAATATAATCATGTTTTCAAATATTTAATAAAACTTAAACAATTATATAATGAAATTAAGTCAAAGTTAAGATATAATTTATTAAAATTCAATTTTCATTGAGTTATTCAAATCAAGTTTCTGATTGGTTAGCAAATTTAAATAAAACATATTAAAACAAATTTGATTAAACAATTAAAGATTAATTTGTAAAAGATAGAAACCTTCTCGAAGGACCCCACTCGCACCACCAATGATTGATCATTACCCATCCTCTCTGTATTCCTGACGACAACAATGACTTCTACTGCTCGACCTAATCTCATCCCTTGGATCAAAATTTGTAAAATTTAGATAAATCTAGACCGAAAAAAAAAATAAATATATATATATATATTGAATTATCTTATACTTTATTATATATACTAGTTACACGTGTTAATTATATTGATTCTGGATTTTCGTGTTTCAGACTAGCACAACCTATTTATTATTTCTAATAGTGTTTGTGTCATTTCGTGATAGGATTGTGTTGTTGTGTCATGGTTGAATCTTGTTGTCTCAACTCTTCCTTAATACTATAGTCCCTAATATAAACACTTTGACTTAGAAGAATATAAGATGAGATTACCACATATGTAATACCAAGTAATGTCTATTCTTTTTTCATTTCAAATTGGTGAAATATTTTAATAAAAATAAAGTAGTCTTTATTATTTATCTAATTTATATTACAATAATTTCACTTTTATTTGCATCTTCATTTTAACTTGATTATACAAATTTATTTATACCTTTATCGGTCATGTTAGTTACAAGTTTAACTATTAGTATGCATATAATAAGA